GAGACAGGGGGATGTCTCTCCTCTGTCTCCCGAACAGGTGACTCAGGCTACATCCAGCCTAGCCTATTGTTCCCCCCAGATTCTCTAGAGACCAGAACAGACTTACTGAATTGGAAAATTTAGGCACCTGTGCCCAATATCTACATGTCTGAGAGCTCCCAAGGCAGAGGGGGCAGCGTCCCTCCGAGACCTTCCCCTAGAGCTGTCGGCCAGCAGTGGGCTCAGGTGCGGGGGGGGGGGTCCGATGAATCTCGCTGGGGACTCCAAAATGTAATACCCCTAGTCCTGAAAATATAGAGTCGGACCACGCTTAAGTGCAATCAATCAGAAATTTATTGAATCTGTGCAGGGGACTGTCCCGAGAGACAGTTCCGTCCCCGTAGTGGGCAAGCATACTATAGAAGTGAAATGTGGCTAGTTGGGGGTTGGTTACAGCGAGGGTACCCATGGATACAGCAATAGTTACAGTTGTGTAACAATGATTAATACAGCCTTGGTTGGTAATGGCTATATCTCAAATCACAGTGGTTATTGTTATGTAACCATGATTATACAGCCTTGGTGGATTTCCCCCATTGTTCATCCACTGAGAACTTGGGGGTTTTTGTGAAACCTGGAGCTCCCTGTGCTTCAAATCTGGGGGGTATGGGAACAGGCTGTCAGAGCCCGTAGGGCGGGGGAACGGGCTGGAAGGGAGGGCGGAGGAAAGGTAGAGGGCAGGAGGAGAACAGGAGAGGGTGGGAGAAGAGGGTTGGGAGTGCTTACAGCAAAACCATTTCAGTACCATGACATGAAGCACTGCTTCAAAGGTCACAAAGAGAATTTTGAGTAATATCCTCTAGGGTGCTTGTTAAATACTGGCAGAAGAGATAAATTGCCCCAGGATGTTTATATATGAGCCTGAAAAGATGAGTTAGTGATGGATTCACATTAAGGTGATAATGCCTAGAATAACGCCAGGAAAATAGGGGACCTGATGTCCACTTACCCTCTGTTTCTTCCCATGTGAAGTCACAAGACAAATCTTAACAAATTTAAGAAGATTAAAGTCACATCAATCATCTTTTCCAACCACAACAGTATAAAAAAGGTGTGGTCCCACCATTTCCTCTCCCTCCACCCATCCTCCGCCCTCCCTCCCCTCCCTCTCCCCTTTCCCCATATTCTTGGGCTATAATTGAGTTATAGCTTTCAGAAGAAAGCTATAAATTGGTTTCATAGTAAGACTGAGTACATTGGATACTTTTTCTTCCATTCTTCAGATACTTTGCTAAGTATCAAACCAATATCTCTGGGTTTGGGATTTGGTGATTTGGTCTAATCTTACTGGAGTTAGATGATATCTCAAAGTGGTTTTGATTTGGATTTCTTTGATGATTAAGGATGATGAGCATTGTTCATGTGTCTGTAGGCTGTGAGCCTATCTTCTTCAGAGAAGTTTCTCTTCAAGTCGCTTGCCCACCCTGAGATTGGATCACTTGTTCTTTTCTTGCTAATACATTTGAGTTCTCTGTGGATTCTGGTTATTAAACCTTTATTGGAGACATAACCTGCAAATATCTTCTCCCAATTTGAGGGCTGTCTGCTTGCTTTACTTACTGTGTTCTTGGCTGCGCAGAAGGTTTTTCGTTTAATCAGGTCCCAGTAGTGTATTTTTGATGTTGCTTCCATTACCCAGGGGGGTCCTCCTCATAAAATATTCACCTAGGTCGATTCTTCAAGAGTTTCCCCTGCACTTTCTTCAAGTATTTTTACACTTTCATGGCTTAAGTTTAAATCTTTAATCCAGTCAGAATCTAACTTAGTTAATGGTGAGAGGTGGGGATCCAGTTTCAGTCTTCCATAGGTCGCCAGCCAGTTCAGCCATCACCATTTGTTAAATAGGGAATCTTTTCCCATTGAATGTTTTTAATTGGCTTGTCAGATTAAACTGTTTGATAACTTACTGTTGCCAAAGATAACTAACTGTTATCTTTGAAGTAGCTGGGTTCATCTCTTGGGTCTCTACTGTGTTCCATACATCTACCTCTCTGTTTTTGTGCCAGTATGATGCTGTTTTGATTACTATCGATTTATAGTATAGTCTGAGGTCTGGTAGCGTAATTCCTCCTGCTTTGTTTTTATTTCTCAGTACTGTCTTGGCTATTCGAGGT